GGGAAGCATTCTAGGACCCCTGTTGTTTGTAGTATTCATCAACGATCTACCCGACATCGTAGAAGCCCGAACCGGTACAGCTCTGTATGCAGATGACACCAAACTGCACAAAACCATTACCTGTAATCGTGATTGTGCGTCTTTACAACACTCTCTATCCAATCTTAATCTCTGGACTATGGAAAACAACCTCCGCTTCAACGTCTCTAAGTGCAAAGTTCTCACCATCACCAGAAAGAAAAATCCTATCATTCATGACTACACTCTTGGGAGCCAAAACTTGACTCGAGTAGATAGCGAAAAAGATCTTGGAATTACCACCACATCAAAACTTTCTTGGGACATTCACGCGAACACCATCGTCGCGAAGGCCAACAAAATATTAGGCGTACTTAGAAGAACTTGTACCAAATTGATGGACATGAAAACCAGACAAACTTTATATTTATCGTTGGTCAAGTCCCAGCTGTGTTATGCTACAGAGGTATGGTCGCCGGTTAACAGCGTCCAGATTTCAAGACGTGTTGAAAAAGTGCAAAGAAGAGCTACTAGGTGGATAACAATGACAAAGCGAGGAGAACTGTCGTACAGAGAACGGTTATTAGCATTAGATCTGCTACCGTTAACCTATGATCGAGAAGTCAGAGACTTGGTGTATTTCTTCAAATCATTGTTTAGTTACATTGACGTCAATATCGATAACTATGTGTCGTTTGTGGGCCATGGTCGTACTAGACTGAGCCATATGTCAAGATATATCCTTCAAAGTAAACTCTGTAAAACTAATACTTTCCAGTCTTCATACTACAATCGTGTTGTAAAGATTTGGAACGCAGTGTGCCAAGAAATCTCACCTGTGACATTTTCCGTAATCCAAACTCTTTTAAACACTATCTTAAACGTAGATACTATACATTAATTAGCAATGTTTATGACGTAGACATGGCTTGTACGTGGTCATTAAATCGTGACTGTCCTTGCCATAGGACTTAATACCACAAGTAATATATATGTGTGTGTGTGTGTGTAATTAATTAACTATATCAAAACTAATTACGGGGAGCACCTCGCATGGGACTTTTAGTGTCCCGTTTGTGCTTTTCCGTTTGAGTGTATCTACTAATTTGTGATTTGTGACGTGTGTTTTGTCTTTCGTTTGTCAAGTTTTTATCTTTGTACCTGATATAGTACGTATGTAGATTGCTCAATAAATTCATTAAATAAATAAATAAAGTAATTACTTTATGACCGGTCCCAGATTAATTGATAATCTAATGTTTCGTTATCGGCGGCGATTTCTCTCCTCCTGGCGGATGTGATGGAATGAGTGACATGCAATAGATTTAGAAATATATAAAATCCAAAACGCGATTCCATACTTTTGGTTGCGAGTTCACTCATTCGCATCAGGAGGGGAAAGGGAAAATCGCCGACAAAATTGCTAGTGTGAACCAGGTTTTAGTCCTCGGAAACCATCTTGGATATTGGCTACTACTGACTTTTAAAAAGCTGGACATATAGAGGTATGTGGTGCATATCGAAATATGTGATCTACATAGTATTAGAACAATGAAAAGTTACCACAAATGGGGTGCTGGAGGCACAGTCTACGACAGGTGATCAATTTCTGTCATATTTCAGTATTGTGATTATAGTCACATGGGAAAAGCTAGTGATTCCAGTTTGACTCTACAAAACACTGCAAGGTTTCTCCAAGATGAGTATAAAAAAAAAAAAAACGCCTTCCCAGGCCTTCACACTGGCCTCAAAATGACGACATGTGCGTGGGGATGCAGGACAGCTTATGGGCGGCCGTTACCACCAAAAATACCACACGTGTGAAATGAATGGACATAAACAGAAATCATTCATTACAAACACGAACGAGTCATCATGTTTAGAAATGCTTGAACCTAACGTAGTGATATTACTGGGCAAGACCAGAAATGATTTGTTTAACATTGAAACGATTCACTTGATTGTGTATTCATTCATCTATTATTGCGCTGATTCATATAGTTCAAGTGAAATGGCTTAGCATATTTTGCAATGACTTAGCAGGTCGTACAAGTGACACGTTCGGTTGGCAAATAATTCACGCTTTTTTAGAACCATCCGCTGTGTTTTAAAATAGCTCAACTAAATACGAAATGATTCAACTAGATGGGACGTGATTCAACCTTATGTGAAATAAATAAACTGAATGTGAAACGACTCAATGCAATGTGAAATCACTCAATTAAATGCGACATCGTTCAACTAGATGTGACACGATTCAATACCATGTGAAATCACTCAACTAAACGTGAAATCACTGAACTAAATGTGAAATCATTCAACTAAATGCGAAATCATTCAACAAGATGTGAAATGATTCAACAAGATGTGAAACGATTCAACAAGATGTGAAATGATTCAACTAAATGTGAAATGATTCGCGTCCACGTGAACTGACACGACATGTTTTGAACTGACGTAATTTGTGCGGTCTTGGCACGTCTTGTTGTGAAGTGATTCCTTGGTTTATGCCAGAATATGAAAGCAATCACACATCAGCAATATTGGCCTTTCGACGTGGCAAAACGTGAAGAGCCAAATCCAGGCGTTAAAAATAAACCGGAAAGCTTTAGGTGCATATGTGATTCAGAGCGAAATTTCACGCGGACTTTGAAACATGTCAGAAGCACGCTATACGGGTACTTTGACCCGTAGAATTGATTTCTGGTGTATCTAACCTTGTAGCGTGCTTAATATTTGTTCGCACACTATATTTCAGCAAAATTGTAAACATGGCTTTATGTAGCCAATATTGCATCGTTGCCTTCGAAAGAGGATCCTATAAAGACAGTTTCAAAGCCCTAAGTACAGATTCAAGAAACAGTGACGAAAAGTACAACAAATTAAATATTTTACCGGATTATTGACATTAAAATTTCGTTTAGCTTCAAGCGGCTATAAATCGCTTGCATTACATTACATTGCCAATATTGCATTGTGAATACACAAACATAGGTGATATGTAAAGATTGTTAAACGCTGAATCGAACGGCGGAATTTTTTATTCTTGTTGGGTGCATGGAACCGGAGATACGGAGCAGGCAAACTGGCGGACGTTTTCAAGACAAAGCATTTTCTGTTGCATATCATCTGTTCCTAAAACGGCGGTCATTTTGAGCTGAGCCTGCTATTGGAGGAAAGCGGTGAATTCCACGAACGTAGGTCACGTTTGTATCGCCCAAAAAAACAACTACAATTAGAAGTTACTGTCACAAGGGGGAAATGCTGCCGTACGGCCAAAAGTTGTTTTTCTCCCCTAATTGCAAATATCAAACCAGTATCAAGAAGATTCAAGATCATAAAGTGGTTTATTTTAACATTTGATTTATTTACATTGCTAAAGGCACACTGCATGTTTGCATTTTTTTGTGTCAAAATATTCAGATTGCAGCATTAATAATAATTATCACTTTTCATAGCAACCTTAACATTTCTGAGTGACTTCAGATTGTATGCATGTATACCAGAAAGCTGCGGATTGAAAAGGATTCAACTACCTGAAAAATGCAAGTAAATCTGCAGCTTTCTGGTGTTATTGTCACTATCTACCATGGAATGCATAGCAATTTTACGACTGGGAGGGCTGGTACTGAGATGAAGTCAGTTCTCAGCACCCTGGGGGTTAAGCCCAGGAAGTGCATTTCCAGCTACCCCCCACCCCACTTGCACAATCTCTGATAACCCTAGCACAGACCGTTTGTGTCTATGTACACTCACTTTATATGTGATGCTGTAATGCTTAATTTGTCCTAAAATTTAAACTTTATGTCAATAGCAATCATGTTGTATTGCAGAACTGTCAAAGGATGGTCTTGAATTATATAATTTGTAAGAACACATACATGTCATTTAAAATCCCGGGGGTCTGGTATCGGCCTGGCAAAGAATAAACAAATACAGTGTTTGAAATTCATAACAACCATATGCACAACTGAGTGGCTGGATCTATCTTTGCGATGCAATTACTTTGTTGCCTGTGTTTACAGTTTCCATCCAAATAAAATTAAGATGAACTTTTTTACATCCATTACAATACATGACCATATTATTCTGTTTGTCATATCGGTTTGATTAAGATTGTACTCAGTCAGAATTGTAAAACTATATAACAGAAAAGAAATTGTGAGCATATTGAGAAATGTCACATGAAATGTAGTGAACAGACGAATATATGAACATATCTTGAGGATAAACAGACCAATTAACATATTAATATGTCCTGACAATAATCACAGCTAACCTCTAGATTCTCGAATGGGCCTCACTACAGAAACATATAAAGCTAAAGTATTCGTACACTTTGACTCCTTGAATAGGACATTGTTAAATGACCTAAATGTTGTTTTCACTAATCGATCAGTGGGCTGTTAAACTCATGAAATCACATTGTTATAATACTATATCGAACACTAAAAAACTCAACGCCTTCATGTATGTCAACAGAAAGAAATAAAACCATCCTTACCTGAATTATTCTAAATATTGTAGATCGTTTGCAACCATATTAAAAAGCTCGAAAAATATTGAGAAGAATTGAAAGCATACTTGCGCAATATAAAATACTGTAACAGTATGTTTGCCCACCCCTCTCATTTAAAAAATGTACCTGAAGCTTTTAAAAATTATTCCCCCTGGAAAAATGAACAGACAGACACCAGATCCCGACAATACATAGTTCACTTGAAAGACTGGGTCGAAAGGACTTTGGAGAGACCCTAGCACGTCAAGAATAGTGTGTTGCTTCACTGATATAAAAAACAAGGGCATTTTAAGATTCTGGACCTATCGGCCAGTGTAATTAATTCATTCCATTTTGTATGTTTTAGTTTCCTATATAACTAACATCTTCAATACTGAAAGTATTAAGATTTTCACTTCAGAAAAGGTATGGTACTGTATCAGTGTTGCAAAGCCTTCCAATCCATATTTAGTAAATATGCAAGGTTGTTACCCACCTTTAGAAGTTTTCCAGCGCAAATGAGAAGTTTCCGGTCATGACAAAGCAGTAATTGTTTTATTGTATCGGAGACAACTGTCAAAAACTTCGTTACAGTTTCACCTGCAATGGTCTAGCAAAAGATGGCAATATCAATGATTACACATTTAAAACATAATTAAAAACATTTCGTTCCCATTAAGAGCTCAAAAACAATACATAAATAAGAATCACTAACTGAGAAAATGTGGGGTATTGGTGGTAGAGTGATTTCTCTTTGTGCCTTTCACATGTGCAAATGGCGTTCGACTATTGAAATTGTAATAGTTCTGATTATAATTTCACAAACACACGTGAACAGGTTTTCTCTGGGTACTCCACCTAGAGTAACAGTGAACCCATAATAAGGGAAGGCCTGCTAGAGTTGTCCAGTATTAATAAGTTCCTAACTAGAGATCCAAGGATAGTGTAAAGTTTCAAATTGAAAAAGACACGGCAAGAACTGTATAGGGTCGCCGACAATCTAGAACAGTAAGAGCAGGCATAGGCTAGAGCAGGTACGTTACTCAAAAATGTGGATTAGAACAACGTTTTTACGAGATAAACAATTCCTTGTCACTCCCTTCGTAACTCGTTTACTACTAGTAAATGTTGAATTGCAAGAGCTCTTATTTGGGCATGACAACTTTCTGTTTTGTAAAGCTGATGGCTTACACTACGAAATAAGCAGTTAGCATAGGCATTTCATCTCATTATCTATTCGGTTTTCAATGCGTTATTGCGTTCGGCACATGAGTAGCGCGACGTTTGAAACAAGCCTAAAGGCTGCATTCCAGTTACGCGTTTTTCATACGTACGTACACGCACGTAAAAGTTGAATTCGCTTTACATCCTACTTATGAAATAACTAAATTTATAAAAGGTTTTTTGAGTATGATTTAATGTGTATTTGTTAAGGTTATTTGCACTTATATGAAATTTTAAGCGAATTCAACTTTTACGTGCGTGTACGCACGTATGAAAAACGCGTAACTGGAATGCAGCCTTAACACATTAGAAACGTCGTGCGTCGTGGAACTGGTACAATTTATTTATT